AATAACTGAATTTGTTTGATTTAACTATGAATGGATGGGAATTAAGGTCCTAAAGGTTCTTTTTTTTTTTATTTAATAATGGTTGAAGGAGGTGGACTTATTGTTAAACATTTGATAAATAATTGAATGATAATTAAGTAATTGAAGTTGTAAACCTTATTAAGGGGTTAAAATGATTTCTTATAGGTGTAGTTTGATGAAATGACAGAATTTACTTGTTAACTTTATGGAAGATGGGAATTTTTTTCCTTTTTTTTTTTTTTGTATAAGTAAGGGATGGTGTTAAACTATCTTGCTGAAATGGTAAAGATTTTGGGTATAACTATGAATGGATGGGAATTAAGGTCCTAAAGGCTTCTTTTTTTTTGATTTAATAATGGTTGAAGGAGGTGGACTTATTGTTAATGTTACATTTGATAAACAATTGAATGATAATTAAGTAATTGAAGTTGTAAACCTCATTAAGGGGTCAAAATGATTTTCTATAGGTGTAGTTTGATGAAATGACAGAATTTACTTGTTAACTTTATGGAAGATGGGAATTTTTTCTTTCTTTTTTTTTTTTTTAAGTAAGGGATGGTGTTAAACTATCTTGCTGAAATGGTAAAGATTTTGGGTATTTGAAGAATTAATTAAATGAATAATTTTTATTAATACGGAGGAGATGGATTGTTTAAGTTTAGAGTTTGGAGTTAGAGATATTAATATTTGTTTACTTGTATTTGAATATTAGCCTAGGTTTGGTTTGGGAAGTCCGGGGGGTGGGGGGATGGGATATAACATTGTGTAATATCTGTGATGTATTTCTTTTTCTTTTATGATGAAAACAATAAAATTTTATATTGAAAAAAAAAAAAAAAGAAAATGTTTTTTTTTTATTAAAGGGCTAGGAGAGAGCATCAGATATTTCAAACTGTGAAACTATCTTGTGACAGTGAATTCCATAAATCCAAGTTGGACTCCATGGTCACGCTTTCTGCCTCTTTTTCTAGACAATTCTTCTTTTCCCCTCATAAGATTTTCTTACAGACTTTAATTCTTAGTCATTTCTTTGTCCTCTTGTTTCCAACTGGCAGTGGTAACCCATCAAGATTATGCTTTTGAAGACTTGAGTGTTGCTTCTTTAAGTGCTGTATTTTTCTCTGTAATGCATCACGTTGCTTTCCCATGAGAGAGGCATGGTGGATTTGAAGCCTGTCTGGCTGACCCACTCACTTCTGTTGTCAAGGAAAGAACTTTGCATCACAGGTAATTCTCAACTCAACAACCATTTGTTTCACGACTGTTTGAAGTTACCACTGTGCTGGAAAAAAATGACTTACGACCGGTACTTGCACTTAGTGACCATTGCAGGGCAACTGGCATGTATTTATGAGGGTTGCAATGTCCCAGGGTCAAGTGTTCAACTTTTGCAGACTTTTGACAAGCAAAGTCAATGGGGAAGTCAGATTCATTTAACAACAAACTTAACTGTAGCATGAAAAATCATAAAATGGGGCAACTGTCTTGCATAGAAATGGAAATTTTGAGTCAATTGTGGTTGTAAGTTGAGGACTACCTGTAATAATATTGGGTCTCTTGGGCTTTGGTTAATTGACACAGCAGTTTTAAGCATTTCCTCATATAATAAACCTCTGGTTGTGCCTACAAGGGGTTAGTGGATACTAAAAATTAAACTGGCAGGAATCCTGCTTCTTGGTATAGGAATAAGAATGTGCTTGTTCTAAAGGGGCAAATCAAATAAGATTTCTTTCACTAACTTTACTACAGGAAGAAAAAAATGACATTGTTAGGAGACTCATAAATCATGGCTTTTTATAGCTTTTCCTCCTTTTCTTGGTCCCCAGCAAGAAACCATTCACTATTTATGTAACTGTACTTTTATGTAAACGTATTTGGAATGCTAAAATATAGTCTTTGCTGTTACCAGCTCCCTTGTTAATTTTCCAGACATGGACTACAAATAGCCACTTCTAGGCCAGCTATCCTCAGAGTGTCAGCCCTAGACATCCTCTCCTCCGTCACCCTCATTTCTTTTTTACTTCTTCCCTTTGTCTTGTCTACAAAGTATAGGTCCTTGCTATAGTTATAAAGACAAGGTCATTCAGTTGAAAAATAAATTGCATGTTTTTCCTTCTGTAACATATCACATTCCTATCTCTGCTTTTTCTGATATTCCATGCTTAGAGGCAATGCATTTTTAACAAGAGAACCAGTTTGGTGTAGTGTTTAAGGGCCTAGGCTATAAAATGGAAGTTCATGAGTTCTAGCACTGCTTTAGGCAGGAAACCTTGAGCTACTCATTGTCTCTCAGCCCTAGGAAGAAACCACTTCAGAAACTCTGGCCAAAAAAACTTCAGAGATTTATCCAGGTTGTAGCAAGAGTCAGTACTGACTCAAAGGCAAAATATATATATACAAGTAAAATCTGGAGGTATTGGGTAGCAGAAATATACTAAAAGGAAAAGATTATTTTGTATTCAAATTCTACTCAAGTGTTTCTGAGAGACTTCTGACTTGTAGAATGAAATAGTCCTTTGATATTTTAGTCCTTTGTTAATTCTTTGATGGCTGTTTTTTTCCCCCATGCTCTTTCAGACTGTCTTTATTGTCTAGCTTTTGCCTTAACTTTCAGTAATACTTCAGCAAACTTTCAATAATCGGAACAGCTGTGCACAATTCTTATACTACCTCTGATTTTCTCCACACTAATAACCCTGAGGATTTTCATTAATACTATATTAATATTAGTAGTAGTATTAGTAGAGCGAATTTGGTTTAGATGTTAAAGCGCCAGTCTTGAAAGCAAGAGACCGTGAGTTCAAGTTCCACTTTGGCCATGAAAGCCAGTTAGATGACCTTGGGCAAATCACTCTCTCTTAGCCCAACTCACCTCATAGGATTGTTGTGAGGAAAATAGGAGGAGGAAGGTGTGTATGTTTGCTACCTTGAATTATTTGTGAAATAATTATCTGGGACACTACACATCCTCTTCATGACCTGTTTTCCTTGTTACCTTCTGGGAGGAGGCTTCGTGGTATCTGTAGCAGAACATCCAGATTCAGCCATAGTTTCATTCCATACAGCATTAACCTTGTGAACTCTCAAGCTTCCTCCTTCCGTTATATATTCAAGATGGACAGTATTTAATATTTATTTGCTACATACCTGAAGGGATGTGGGTCTATACATATGTTGTTCATAGTATGTTTAGGTGTGCATCATGTATGTGTTTCACTTCGAGAACGGGCAACTACATTTCATTTTTGATGTGTGCTGTTGTGCCCACAGTAAAAAAATGACAATAAAGGTTATCTTATCTTATCTTAAATAGTAAAGGCGGGATGGATGGATGGGTAGATGGATGGATAAATAGACAGACAGATAACAATCAGCTCTGGCCCCACAACAGTACTACCAATTGTATCCCCAGCATATGATGTTCTTGAGCATTATGTCAGCCACTGACCCCTGCCCTAGAGTCTTTCCTTCAGATCCCTGCACAGTTGCTATGTTGACATAAGAGAAGAAGTGGCCACTTGTCATTGATCAGAGTGGACCTTCTGCTCCGTAGCAGGGCTGTCCATGGAAATCCTTATAGGATCTCTTTAAAAATCAGGTCTGCCTTACCCAACCAGGACAGCTTGGGGTGATGCAACAGTCATTTCAGCTGTTATTTGCTGCTGCTACTTTTTTGGCAAGGCAAAAAAGAAGAAAATTGAGTTCTTTTTGTGTTAATTATCAAACACACAGGCACGTTAGGCCCAGTATCTGACAAGTACACCACTTGGAAAGGCCTAGGTCTTCTGAGGCATGTTAAAACTCCACAAGATATAAATTGGCAAAATAGTTATTGAAAATATTATCTAGATGTTCTGCATCCAGAATATCTTCAACCACACAACTTAGATCGGACTTGGATTCTTTTCTTCCTTTCTTTCCTCAGAGCTAACTGCTGCTCCTAGGGAAATTAAAAAGTAAAAAAGCCTTGAGTAACCTCCCCCCTCATTATTTAATCTCAAGGTCTGGTTTTTGTTCAGGCCAGTTTGTTTTTTAAAAGGTAGAAGGAGATTGGTCTAGAGATAACTGTGGATGCATTCTTAGATGGTGCCCCTTACAGGGCATATTAGTGAATAATGGAGTTTATACATGAGTATTTTCCTTAGGAATCTCTCGGACCTGAAGCATTAGTGTTGTTGCTATGAAAAGAAGAACAATGATTTATAAATAAAATTTGAATTTCTGTTGAGGACAGTTATATTCAGTTGCTGATACAGCATTGTGATTAAAAGAGTAAGATTTGATTTAGATTTACTCTGTTTGTGGGCAAGGAGAAATTTCTCAGGAGCTGTAGAACTCCACTATAATTTTAATAAATTGCATTCTAAATTTCGTTTGAACTATGCAGTTTCAGTTTGTTGTTTTGGTTTATGGAAGAAATAATGCCTTTTTCCTGTGACACAGATTCCTAGATGATTGGTGCTTCCAGATATAGCTTTTATTATGCAGACTCCTTGCCTTGTTCACACAATGTAATGAGAAGAGGGTCCAGATGTTGTCTTCCATTCCAAACCCTTGTTTTTTTATCTTTTTAAAAAGTATTTAGTCCTCTATTAAAGAAAGAAAATAGGATATGAATATAACACGTTTGAAATGATAAAAATAGAATCTCTTTAGAAGAAGGAAAGTTGAACAGATTTCCTTGAGTTATAATGGTGTTCTTTCCTAGATGAACAACATAATGCCCTCACCTGCTACTGTGTTGATTTTCTATAAATAAAGAATTCATGAAGGGAGATTCCAGCACATGCTTTGTAGTGATACAGTTGAAGAAATCATCATTTTTGCTGAAAGGTCTGATTAGCCCTTTGGCTGAAAAAATAAATGATTTTTGTGACTATTTCCCCAAACTTTTGATTAATGAAAGTCTTAGTCCCTATATTTCATTTGTTAACTGAGTTTGTAATGTGAGTGCAAATTCTGTGAAATTTGTTTCCTAGGTGGAAACCCATGAATACCTTGTGAAACCTTCCATTGACCCCAATCTTGCTGAATTGAGAGAAAATATGGATAAGCTGGAAAGAAAAATGCAGGGTGTGCTGAAAACTGCAGCCAAGGAACTGAGTATGTTGGAGGGTGGAAATTATTTTACCATGAAGTACTTTTAAGTTCGTTGAGGTTTTTTTTTTTCCTTTCAAGTCATCATCCGTATTGACTTGCTTAAGACAGCTTTGCAGCCTAAAATGTAGTGCATCATGTCAGCCTTCTCCAGCCTGGATATTTCTGGGACTTATAACCCCAGAACATCTTGAGGCACCAGGTTAGGTAAAGGTGCAACATATTGTTGCTTTTAATCTCTTCTTGGAAACTCATTAGGGTTTCTTCAATGAAAGTCAGAAAAGGTTTCTCGGTGCTACTAATATTTACTTTAAAATTAAATGACTTTCTAGGTTCTGGTGGCACCCTGCTTTTATTCACTCTAGACATTCAGTGTCTCCAATGAATACATACCGTTTTTATGCATACCTTCAGGGGTCCTTGATGTGGAAAAGACACTCTGAAGGAAGAATTCTGGAAAATTATTTCAGTATTCAAGGATGCCCAGTCATCAATGTTGTAGCTCTCCCCCAATTAATTGCTTGCCATTTCACTACTACTGAAAATGTTAAAAAACTGCAAAAGCTGTGGAGTCAGATGCACCATACTTCTGAACTGCATCTCTTCTTAGGCTTTCTGTATACGTCAGTACATTGAGCAGATCCACCTGATACAACTTTGATTGCTAAATTGATATGCCATAATGGAAATTATTGTATAAAGAATAAATAGAAAATGGCTATTGCTAGTCCTAGAATGTAATTTTGAAATGAAGGTTAGATTACACTATTGATAGATTAATTATAATTTCCTTTGATAATGCTGTCCAAAGCAATTCAATAAGTGGTCTCATTTAAACACCTACATTTTATTTGTCTTAGCAAGTGGCGGCATGTACTTGTCTGAGTTTGAAGCTAAGCAAAATTGGTCTTAAGTTGTTACTTCTAGTGGAAATTGAAAAACATCCCAAAAGAATCCAGTGACAAATTACTTCTGTATCCCCCCCCCCCCCACTTCAATTATCATTGTAGTCAAGCTCAGTTCTAGGTTATCTTTAGTCTTACTTTGCCTTTACCAAGTTGGAATATAGATTGAGGTGGGCATTTTTAAAACTGAAACTTGCATACTTCTTGACTGTAAACTGGCTTAAGGGGATTTCTGAAACAAAATATTTAATAACAGCCTAATTCTTTTACCACTGTTTTAAGTAATGTGATAATGTTACAAATTAGAAATGCCTCTATTGTTGGGAGACACATTAATGGAAATTTTTTGGATGCTTTTATCTGGCCAGCTTGATGATAGGACTTTCTCCAAGCTCTATGACTGCTCAGTTGATTTTTCCATAAGGGACCTGATACAACATTAAGCAGCAAAACCAAGGAAAAAAATTTGATCACTGAGTGAGGATAATGAAGGTGTCATTTGTATGCTTATATGGTGCCATAATCAGTCATATATGCTATTTCCTCTTCCCAAATGCAAAACAGGTTTGGAAGCTGGCAAGAGTATCAAATTAGAATGCAATGCACAGTTCGGACATTTTTTCAGAATTACCTACAGAGAAGAGAAGGTTCTGCGGAATAATTTGAAATATAAGATCTTGGAAACCCAGAAGAATGGGGTGAAATTCTCTAACAGGTAATGTCAAAGTCACAAGTCAGTTCTGTTCCTGCTTTTAGCCCTGAACAGCCTCTTAAGTATGCTACTTGGAAAATGATTGAGTTCCTGGGAAAACAGTGGAATGTTACTGTTCAATGTGAAATGTTGCAAACATTTCTGGGTTTTTTGTTTATGTCCAGTGCATTGAAAGAGATTAATGAAGAGTATATGAAGAGCAGAAAAGAATATGAAGACATGCAAGATGCTGTAGTTAAAGAAATAATCAATGTTGCATCAGGTAAGACTACGTGCTTCCTTCTGAAATTGCCATATACGTTAGGAGAATAATTCAATAGAAAGGGCAAACTAGATTAAAGCATTGAGCAGAGCAGCCATGCATTCACATGGGAACCAGTAGAACTTCCAAAACAGGTCCAAAATATATCTAGTTTAATGAAGAGAAGGACGAGGGGTGACATGATAGCAGTGTTCCAATATCTCAGGGGCTGCCACAAAGAAGAGGGAGACAAGCTATTCTCCAAAGCACCTGAAGGTAGGACAAGAAGCAACGGATGGAAACTAACCAAAGAGAGAAGCAACCTAGAACAGTGATGGCGAACCTTTTAGAGACCGAGTGCCCAAACTACAACCTAAAACCCACTTACGTATTGTCGGGTGGGCGTGGCCAATTGGGTGGGTGTGGCCAATTGGGTGGGCATGGTCCATTGTGTGGACGTGGCTGCAGTGGTAACGGCAGAACTGGGTGGGACTAAAAAGTTCAATCAATCAATTCCAACTTTGCGAGCTTTTTTTTTCCACGAGAAGTTGAAATTGATTGATTGATTAAACCTTTTTTTTTTGCACTCAGCGGCGGAGGCCTAAAGCGAAAAGGTTTTATAAAACCCAGCTGAAGGCCTAGGACTGGGGCGACGGCGCGCGCGCCCACAGAGAGGGCTCTGCATGCCACCTGTGGCATGTGTGCCATAGGTTCGCCACCACGGACCTAGAACTAAGGAGAAATTTTCTGACAGTTAGAACAATTAATCAGTGGAACAACCTGGCTCCAGAAGTGGTGAATGTTCCAACATTGGAAGTTTTTAAGAAGAGACAGGACAGCCATTTGTCTGAAATGATATAGGGTTTCCTACTTCAGCAGGGGGTTGGACTAGATGACCTCAAGGTCCCTTCCAACTTTATTATTATTATTATTATTGTTGTTGTTGTTGTTGTTGTTGTTGTTGTTGTTGTTGTTGTTGTTAGTTTGACTGGAAATCTTCAAAAGGTCCATGAGGAATGTTAATTTATACATTTTTTTCCTAAATTCTAGCATGCGGATTTATCGATATCCATTCTCAATCAGAATTACATTTGGTTCATCATTTGATGTAATAAACAATAATACCAGTTCTAGAGACAAAAAAAAAAATGAAAGAAAGCATATAGAAACTTCCCACAACTAATTTCTGCTAAAACATATTGCCATTCTCATTTAGTCTTCATTCCCATCAAATTATATCAATTCTCCTTTAAAACCAAAATGGATGGATGATAGATAGATAGATAAAATGAAAAAATGAATTAAATTTGTTATGAGTGCTCACTCCAGTAGATTGGTTGGCTTACAAAATTCAATACATAATTAAGAGTGTTAAAAACATAAAACAATAGAAGAGACCCTGGTCTAAAAACAACCACAACAATAAAAACCCAACAGTGTCTTGACAAACATGAACCCCAAGCTATTTTGTTTCAAGAAAGGGAATGCAGGATCTCTGAATTTCTGTCTCTTTTAAAGTCACAGCATTGACTAAATGGGATTTTAGCTTTAACATGAATTAACCGTTTGTGAGTTTTAAATCCTAATTTTGCCATTTTAAAAACAAACTTGTATCATGCTTGTCATTTACACAGATGAATTTTGGCAAATATTCTTGGCTATCTGTACCTTTGCCCCGGTATAAATGAATGATAAATCAAAGTACCTGTATTGATCACTTCTTGCAGGTAGAGCAGAAAAAGCTTTTTCCCTGGAAGTGATGAATAGATAACATAAGCATGAGTAAGATTATGATACAAGCAAATAGACTAGCTTCTAGCTTTCTGTTGCATAAGCTGTTCCAGATTGCACGAGTGCTCATGACTAGTGGCTGCCTAAGCATTTGGTACATAATGTTCCAAGCAATAACCAATACTTTACATTCATTGGTCTAAATAGTAATTTCTGATTCTAGACATTGAATATATGTCAGAATAGGCTTGTGGGGATTTAACAAAGTAGATTCAGTCCACAATCTACCTTCAATCCAAATGCTTTGAATAAAGCAATATATTTTTATGCTGCATTTTCCCATGTCTCTAAATGTATTGGATAGTATAAACCTCTAGGAATTTTTATTTCTCTAAAAAAGATTTAAGGTTCATTTATACAGTCTTTTGCCTCTTTGCTTGCTGAATCTTGCATTCACTATAGAATGAAATAAAACATAATTAGATGCCATGAGGCCCATTTATCAATTTGTCCACTAAATGCTGGAATAACTGTGTCTTTAATTTCTTAATTTCTTGACTTATGAATATTCATTCAGTGACTGTTCAAAATTACGATGGTGCGGAATGTATGTACAGCTGTCTCAGCACCTCCATGGTAATGTGATTGCGATTTGGGTGCTTGGTAGCCCATTCACACTTAGGACCTCTTGGCAAGCATCCTGCAATCACTTGGTTACCATTTGCAACCTTCCCTGCTGGCTTCCCCAAAAAGTCAATGGGGAAGCGGCAGGAAGATCACAAGTTGTGAGTATGTCTCCACCTGCATACCCTCCTCAGCTCCTCTGTGCTCTTGCTGGCCACTTGTGCACCCCAGCATATCCTCCCCAACCCAGGTGGCACCTCTCCCAGACTTTCCCTGACCCACATGGTACCTCTCCTGCACCACCACACACCCTCCCAATCCTCCCCCCACCTCTCCTGCACCCTCCCTCCTTCCCCCACTTGGCAGCAGCTACTTGCTTGCCTGACAGCTTAGGGCATGCAACTGCCTATCAGCTTCCCCACTAATTTTGGTTGTGGGAAGTCAGCAGGGAGTTATCTCTCTTAACAACCATGGGATTCAGTTAATGATGGTAACTGGGACTGTAGGGATTGCCACTTCATGACTGCATCGCTGCAGGACCATCTGTATTAATAAGTGTAGCTGCTTATTTACTGAATACTGTACAGATGTTCAGATCACATCCCATTGAAAAGAAATAAATGATAGTTCCTTTAAAATCAAAGCATCTGATTATAAAAAAATTATAGATGGGATTTTTGGTCCTTTCTTGCATATATTGCTGCATTCCGAATTTGATAAAACCCACTCATTATTTAGCATATCATACCAAATGTGGCTAAATGATAGAAGGCATTTTACCTTTACTTGCTCAAAGCAATAGTCAGTGGTGTATATAACCATGTTTGTAACTCTGTGTACAAGCATCCCGTGTTCTGCTGATCAACATGGGATTCATGAATATCTGATTGCAAAAGTTAGAGCAAAAGTTATTACTTTGTATTGTTTTGTGTAATTAAAAAGTAATATTTAATCCTTATAACTGAATTTCTTTTAATCATTTTTCTTTGTGGTTAGCTGACAAAAAGGCCCATGTGGTGAATGATTATAGTGGTATCTTTACTGCCTTCATTCTTAGTCTCTTTAGTGATTAAAGCCAATGGTTCTTAGATTTTGATATGGGCTGGGGGAGGGAAAAGGCAAAAGGCTCATTTATCCCCTCTGTTCTATTTTTATCTGAATATGATTGAGTCTTAAGTATAGAAAGAATCTACTTTCGCTCACATAGAAATCTGTTCATCAAATATTTTTTCTTATCCAGAAAAAGAAAACTGTACAAAACATAAAAAATGAGTAATGAAAAACTACATGGTTCATTAGTATGAACTATGTTTATATGTATTTGGCATGCTTGTTTTTACATAACTACCAATGGCAGTTTCTGCTTAAACAGTGATACCCAAAGTGCACTTGCAAACACTAAAAAAAATAGTTCTCAATATGTTTGAAAGCAAAAGAAGTAAAATCAAACCAAAATTGATTGTATGCTATCAGGTCAGTTGATTTTTGGCAGATAGATACATATAGATAGTCCTTAACAGCCAATTGCTTAGCAACCATTTGAAGGTATGACAGACAACTCAGAAGGTATTTACGACCCAGTAGTAAAGTTCCAACAGCTTTCCCCTCCCCCCCCATCCAATCATATAGCTGCATTTTGGGTGTTCAGCCATTTATGGCTGTTTGCAGCATCCGTAGTCACATGATTATTATGTATAACCTTTTGTCCTGAAAACAGGTGTTTACTTCTGATTTTCGGCAAAAACAGGACACAACAAACAATAGTTTCACTTAACAGCCATGGCAGTCACTTTAAAACCATGGCTTTTGCTTAATGACTGCTGTAACAAAGATAAAAATACTTTACAGCTGTCATGATTTATGACCATAATTTGTGAGGTCTTCACTTGTTGCTTAACAAGAACTGTCAAATGAATCCCATTGAGAAGACCATTCAATTGTATTGATGTCTTCACACACAGCTCAGGCTGCATGTTTTTATCTGAGAGGAAAGGGTAGAAGAAACACCTTCAAGATACCTAAAAGGATACCTAAGTCCTCAAAAATACACATGGCATGAGAAACAGCTTCATTATTCCTTCACTTAGAAGTAAGATCCAATTCTGTTTTAATTATAGTATGAGGAGATTAGTAGCTTTTGCGACTCTATTTGCAAGTCTGGCTCATAACATGTGTCATACATGTTATATTTCAGGATATGAAAGTGTAGTGTCACCACTATCATACTTTCCCCCCTCTGATAGCTTGCTAATCCTTTAATCTGCTATTCTTCAACAAACTCATAGTTACATTTAAACATATCCTTAGGCAATCCACTACCAGACATAACAAAACCTATTGCTTCTGACATGCTGTTTTTTCAGGCTCATTTAGGCCAGCATGAATTTGGCTAAAGTTTCTCAAACCCTTGAAACAATATGTAGAAGTTGTATCTCATTTTGATACAAATCCAGTGCTCCCTTTTCCATTGCTTTTGTGTAAAATGGACTTTCTGTCTTCCATTTTTCATTTTCAGTTGTAAGTGCCAGGTTTGTCTGTTAGCATTCTTTATATCCTGCTCTGATGTGCTTTTAATGCCGTACCTACTGATGGCATTAGTGTATTAAACACTAAGTTGGAGAAGAAGGACTAATTGGATAGCTGGATTCAGCAGTCTAAGATCCGTAGTTGCTGGAACTTAACTTTGACTGAATTTGAATCTAATATCTGAAAGGGTTTTGAAACTGAAACATATAAAGCTGAGACTATCGAGCTAGAACCCCCAGTGACCTTTTCTCTCTAGGCTATAAAAAACCAATTTGATTCCTGCTGATTTAATAAATGTAACAATGATGTGAAAGTGGCTTCCTATTCTGGGTTTTGTTTTTTCTTTTCCTTGTTAGTTCAGCCCACAGCCTTGGTCTTTTTTGTTGATTTCCTATCCAAGTTACTAAATAGGATTAACTTTATCTGTTCAAGATCAGTCTAGTTCCCCTGGTTATAAAGATACAATGAAATAAAAGTCCAACATAAATGAAAAGAATATATTGGGTGAAATTCTATGTTAAACTGACCAGAGTTGGTTAAACAGAATGGTACTAAATAATTCCCTTTGGTTTTCTGCATAGTGGGAAAACTATCTGAACATTCTTTCTTTTCAATAGGGTATAAAGAACCCATTCAGATTCTCAATGATGTCATTGCCCAGCTAGATGCCATTGTCAGTTTTGCTCATGCATCAAATGCAGCACCAACACCATATGTGCGCCCAGTTATTCTAGAAAAAGGGCAAGGAAGAATAATCTTGAAAGCTTCCAGGCACCCTTGCATTGAAGTTCAAGATGATGTTGCCTTCATCCCAAATGATGTTACTTTTGAGAAGGACATACAAATGTTCCACATCATTACTGGTGAGACTTCATTTTTATATCATGTTTATGGTCTTCCCCCTCTGACCCACTTTGAGCTGCAAATTTTTATGTAGATGCTTTAAAAGAAGCTTTGCCTTTAAACAGACAGAAAAAAATGGCATAACAGTTGTTCCAAAAGGGTGTTTTGTGTTTAGGTGTGCAGTCACCCAAAGGGAGGCATTTTCAAGTAAGCCTAATGCACCTAAATTTTACTTTTAATGAGGGAATTGATGCACTGCTGCTCTCCAAATTAGTGGGGATGATTTTCACGATATGCAAATAAAGCAATAAACATGGAACAGCTGTGGCTGCCTAGGTGGGGGTTGTGCTTTCTGTGGAAAAAGTCTGGCGCAAACCCACACCCTCAATTTGTTCCCTGTTCTTGTTTTGCTCCTCCTCCTCATTTCCTCTTCCGGGAAGTCCCAAATAGAAATAACCTTTCCCTCCTCCACCCCCAGCTTAGTTGTAAATCAATGGGTTTTTTTTACTTATTGTTTTCTATAGCAATTCTTCAGATTTAATGACTCATACCTTGAAAATGATTGATTTGCAGCACTCTAATCAGGCATGTCAAACTCGTGACGTCGTGCGACGTATCGCGACTTTTCCCCCATTGCCGGGAATGGGATGGACGCGGTTTCGGCGTGATGCATCCGGCCCGTGGGCTGGCAGTTTGACATGCCTGCTTTAGGGTTTTTAGGTAAAGTCAGTGCAAGTGAGGGCATGTGAATTTTCTGTTCAATTCTCGCATATTCCCTGTGTATTTGAAACATCAACTCTCCTTTATTTTCCTGTAACAAAGCCAGACTTCTCCACACTCTTATAGAATACTATCTCAACAAAATGCCCAAGTAATTTTATGCTGCTTTCATTTACTCCAAAGATTTTAATTCCCTCCCTTATAAATAAACACATGGAAGTCTGAAGGATGCATTATTGGTTATATTACCCTCAGTTCTCTAGGCATTTCCCAATCTCTCTTTCCCATAACACCTTTGGGAAAACAGTTTTGCTGTGATTTTATGGTTGGTGGGGAGAGCTTTTCTCTCTCCTCTCCCCCCCCCCCCAACTGGACATACCTACACTTTCCTAGTATTTACAAACTCGGTAAATGTATGATGATTTCTTGGCAACAGTGTAAAAATGATTTGCCACTGCTGCCTTCTGAGACACAATTTTAATTTTTGCAATCTAACCTACAGTAATTTTTTTTTTGTACTTTGTTTTATTTTTAAAAGAAACTGTCCATGTAAGCTTAGATGTAAGCTTATTTTTTTCTAGGTGGAAAGAGAAGATTACATTAGCCTTAGGCCAGGAGTAGGCAACCTTGGCTCTTTTATGACTCGTGGACTTCAACTCCCAGAATTCCTGAGTCAGCATAGCTGACTCAGGAATTCTGGGAGTTGAAGTCCACGAGTCATAAAAGAGCCAAGGTTGCCTACCCCTGGCCTAAGGTTAATTTTTTTTTAGTACTCATTAGTTTCATGGGGTTTGCACAAAATCCTGTACTTAAAAAGAAAAAAGCCCCCCCCCCCTTTTTAAAGAAAAAAACCTCCATATATATGGGCGATCCCAAAGGCTCTGTTGCTTTCATTGCTGGGGAAATAAGTCCTTTTGCTGCTGTCTGCATTTGGGTCATGAATGTGCGTCACCAGGAGAATCCTGGCACTCCAGGTTCATTTATTCTCCTGTGCAACTTTGTTTAACTTTTGGGGAATACTTGCTCTGCAGGGCCAAACATGGGAGGAAAATCAACTTACATACGACAGACTGGGGTGATCGTTCTTATGGCCCAAATTGGCTGTTTTGTGCCATGTGACTCTGCAGAAGTGACTATTGTTGATTGCATCTTGGCTCGAGTTGGAGCTGGAGATAGTCAGCTGAAAGGGGTATCTACCTTCATGGCCGAAATGCTGGAAACGTCCTCCATCCTTAGGTAAGAGCAGTGACAACCTTTGTTCAGCAGAAATGTGAAAGGTAAAGACTGTTTCTCCAGGTTTCCTGATCTGCCTCCAAAGAACATACAGATGACTGTAAGATCTATTCTGCCTTCACTTATCTATTGCTACTGCTATCTTTCATCCCCCCCCCCCATTTTTTCTCCTAGCTAAGTGGCTTCAATGAAAAGTTGCTCTTTCCTTCTGCTCTTGCTCCTACAGAAATCAATAGCTTTTTTTCTACTTTTCTAGGCCTACCCTCGGGGCTTTATTATCTTCTATCTCCAATTAATTGCTTACACAAATGATCACTTGCACAAGAACTGTCCTTGTGCAAAAGGAAATTTTATTGAGCCAAGGGAGATTCAAGAGAAATGACAAAATTTTGCAAACCTCTAGTTCAAACACAGAATACTGATGTTTGGGATAGGGGATGGAAAATATAGGAATTGAACAAGAGAGAATAGGGCTGCAGCATTCTGCTAACTAGACTTCCTTACAGACTTCCGCTGTCCTGAATATGTCTGCTTGATTCAAACCCATCTGTAGGTTTAGAGCAAGTATATAGAGAAACTCTGCTTCCTATTTAGAGATGAGGAGAAATTCATCAGGTCACATTTTAGTACAAACTTAAAATATGTTTTTCCAAACTGGCATGTGAACTGAAATGTAAATTTCTTTTGCATGCATGCATGCATGCACGCACACACACACACACACACACACACACAGAGAGAGAGAGAGAGAGAGAGAGAGAGAGAGAGAGAGAGAGAGAGAGAGAGAGAGAGAAATTTGCAAGCAAGTGCAGAGAAAAGGTGCAAAGAAAAATCCACATATTAGTGGATATAACACACACAAATACGTTATGAAAAACTGTTTTGAATTGTTCTACTTTAAAAGTAGATTCTAATTAATATCTTTTTTTTTCTTTTAGGACTGCAACCGAACATTCCTTGATAATCATTGATGAGTTAGGGAGAGGAACATCAACATATGATGGATTTGGATTGGCCTGGGCAATTTCTGAATATATTGCCAGCAAAATGAAAGCTTTCGCTATGTTTGCTACTCATTTTCATGAACTGACAGCACTGGCTGATCAAATACCCACTGTAAATAACTTGCATGTTACGGCATTAACTACAAAGGAAACCCTGACAATGTTGTACCGTGTGAAAAAAGGTGAAATGCATTAGTGGATTGGGACAGAGAAAATCTGCTTTATTTTATGGTAGAATGAGTGACCGTTTCTTTGCAAGGTTGAAAAATTGACTAAGATATTGTTCTTTATATATTGTAAAATATACATTCCTATATTTCTACTTTCTTTGATTTTGTGCAAATATAGCTCTTAGGATCTAATCTAACTTAACAATTTCTTTATGAGAAATGCCAATTGCCGGTTGTTGAGCTGGACTGATTTCAACAGACTCAAATAAAGAATAGTTGATGAGATCTAAGTGAACAGTTGTTAGAAATGGAGAATGAGGTATTAGAGGATAGTGATTCAGCAATGGTTTCATTGATTACAACTTTTAAATTATATACTTAAAATTAAGAACATATTAGGAGAGTTAAAAATCTCAAAATTGTCCATCTTCAATTTGTCCTATTTTAATATTTAATTTTTTTGTAAGGAAGGGCTTAAATTTATAACAGCTGATACAATGCATATCAACTTGAATATTTATATCAGGATAACCAATCAAGTCAATAATAATTTGAAAGTTAGTATTTGTGCAGGATTATAATAGAATAACAGAGTTGGAAGAGATCATGGAGGTCTTCTACTCCAACCCCCTGCTCAAGATATGCATTTGTTATTTATTTATAATTATTGTCACTACATTTTGAAATCATTATATGATATTTCAATTAAAAATGTACAATAAAATATGGAAAATGTATTCAAATGGTAAAGATTGACTTGGAAATTACATTGCACTTTATACATTGTACCAAAATAGAAAAATTATCAAATTTAATTTCTGTCAATTTGGGATGCGTTTATCAGCTATAAGAGATCTGTGGAATGTCTTATCCAACTCTTCAAAGGGTTGATTACAGGTAGACCTTGACTTACAACCACAATTGAGTCCAAAATTTCTGTTGTTAAGTGAGACAGTTGTTAAGTGAGTTTTGCCCCATTTTATGACCTTTCTTGCCACAATGTTAAATGAATCACTGCATTTGTTAAGTTAGTAACACAGTTGCTAAGTGAATCTGGTTTCCCCATTGACTTTGCTTGTCAGAAGGTCACAAAAGGTGATCACATGACCCTGGGACACAGCAATGGTCATAAATATGAACCAGTTGCCAAGCATCTGAATTATGATCATATGACCAGGGGATGCTGCAACAGTCCTAAGTGTGGAGCACATTGTAACTTTGAACAGTCACTAAACGAATGGTTATAAGTCGAGGATTACCTGTATTGTTGCTATTGACCTGAACACCCGATATCTTGTTCTGGGTGCACCTTCTGTTCTTGTGTGGTCTCAAGTTACTAAGTTAACATTAAAATTAAAAGGATTTCCTCATGATGCTTCTTTCAGGGGCCTGTGACCAGAGCTTTGGTATCCATGTAGCAGAATTAGCTGCCTTTCCCAAACACGTGATTGAGTGTGCCAAAGCCAAAGCTCTGGAACTGGAGGACTTCCAGAACATTGGAATGTCTCAGGAGGAGGAGGATGAAGAACCAGCTGCCAAAAGATGCCACAGGGAGAAGCAGGTTTGTTGGATTTGTCTGTATGTCTGTATTCTGATTTCTATAATTCTTTGGAAAAGTTCATATATCTTATCATAATGTCATTTCATTTTGGCTGTGATGGGTCAACACAACCATTGTGACTTGACAGCAAATTTATGTTTTTAAGATGAGCAGCCATACAAATCTTTTGAATAAAAAATTGTAGTTCATATTTACAATCAATAACCTTGACTTTATAAATAAAAAAATAAAAATAAATGAAATCCTGAGTTAAAATAAACATAGATTATCATTGTGAACTAAAAATAGTTGGACCTAGCAAAGGTGAAGAATATGAGAGAAACATTTTGAAACAGAGAACATTGCAAAATG